CAATTCTTAATCAAGTTACACAGATTACAATTTCTAGAAACAATAATTATACAGCTATAGAATTTTGTTACAACAAATTGCATTATACAGAAACAAACTTTTGCTTGCAACACATTTTTTCAAAGTCCTGGCAGTTATCCTTAAGAAACAGCTTAAATTAATCTCATTCCAAGAAATTCCTTATCTACAGACACTCTGGTTATAACACATTTTCGTCCCCAATTTTTAAAATTTTTAATTCAATTTTCAGATTTTTTCTCCTGAATTTCCAAATTTTTGGTCCCAGATTTTCATATGATAATTTCCTGAGGCTCATCATCCCCAGATAGTGGACAGGAAATTTGCATGCAGCAGAATTACACACTTGAAAATATAGTTAGGAAGCTTAAAATGGGTTACTTTAGCTGACTGGCAGGAAGCCCATAAAGTAAATCTATCCTGATTAATCTAATACTGTATCCAATGTCTCCTGCAGGAGTCAGGAAGCATAGTGCCAAGCTAGCCACCAAAATCTGTGAGAATCTGTGCTTTTTCCAACGCTCTTCTGTGCTGAGTTATTTTTCCAATTTTTAAATTAATTTTCAAATTCAACCATTTAACATTTATATATTTACAGATATTGCAGAGAGAAAAAAATACTGCAGTTCTTTAGGCAATAAAATGCTTTTACAGATTATAAAGTGGATTTCTGTAAATGAATCTATCAGCAATCTGAATAATGAATCTTTCAACACTTTTTTTTCAGTCCCTGGGAGTTTGTTGTAACGCGATTCTACCGTACTGTATATCAATTCCTCAAGGAATTTCGTCTCTGTACAAAAATCATTAAGAAATCAAAAGCAGTTTATGTCAAATAATAGATCCTGAAAATGTTTATTTTATCCTTGGGAGATTTTCTAAATTTTTATTCTAAGGAAATACATTATTCAATTTTTCAGTCAAGCTTATGGAAGACGCTTTTCTTTGCATCAACAACAAAAGGTTCTGTGGAACAAATACAGTATGATCAAATTATGTTCATTATACACTAAGACAGCACTTTATGATATACAGTAGCACAGGAATAATGCGCCTATATTATTTGTGTTATTTCTGAGAATTTACATGATGCACATCATTTGATGGGACGGGTGTGTGCAGAACGATTTCTGTCAATCTCGAAAAACGGGTAACAGAATATGCTTCCTCCTCGGAAAAAATAATCTTGAAACCGAGGAATAAAGACAGCTGTAGTTGAAAGTGCACATACAGTATAGTCACCACAGCGTGCCCGCGGAAGGATGTTATGCGCCCCTGTGCAAAAAATAATAATGCGCCCCCCCCCCTCTTTCAACATGAAAATTACGTTGATTATTTTGTTAATGTCAAAGAATATATATATTCATAGTACTATAGGTAAAAATAAATATTCTGACTTTTGCAATACTCGACATTAAAAAATCAAGCTGCTGCATGAATACAGCACATATTGTAGTTCAAACATCATTAGAAAATTACTTCACTTTTTTGCGCTATATTTTCAATGGGTACATACTGTATAGTTTATAGCATGTGTATCTGAAAATAAGGAGGTGGAGAAAACATTGTTTGCTTTTTCTCTTCCATTGGTCGTATTATTGAAAATATGTTTCATGATACTTTTTTTTTTAGCTGACATTATAACCTGCAAGTGCTCAGCAAAAGAAAATTTCAAACAAAAATCTACCTCAGTTTCACTCATTCCTGAAATTCAATAAAAAATAAAAGACATGAACTTCATAAGTGTATATGCACAAATGCACATTCCTGTTATGACAAAATTATTAATATAGGCCCTATGTATGCAGTACATTTTCTGGCAATGGCATCATATTTGGATGACTATTATGCTATGGTTCTTTGTAGTTTTCAGAAAAAAAATTTTAGGGCTTGCAATTTTCACAACTGAGAGGAACTTATGCAATATTGCTGATATTGACTCTACTGTGGAATTAATTTCTCACTGCGGATGCAAACATAATTTATTTCATTAGCATGATGGGACTGTGGCAGAATAAATAGACAACCGTACACTGCCATGCACATCAAATCATCCAGAACAATCTAAAATATTCATATTGGACTTCTGTTAGATGGCAGCCATGTTAATTGCATACTCAAGATTTTAGTCTGTGCCTTTCAAGAGTTTCAACCAATCAGGTGCAGCAGCACATATTCTCAGGGAGAAGAATTCCCAGACAGTCTGTCTCCAACTTTTAAGCCATTAACATTGATCTGTGATTCTCTGTGAAATTACCTGTGTTTTGTGAAACCTGTTTTTTCTGTTGAGGAAGAGTGAAATACATTTATTCCTTTATCTTTTTGGGATTTCCTCATGAAATCCCTAGCTGCTCCCCTAAGCTGAATAATGTGTTTCATTTTTGGAATCAGTCCTTTTCTTGCCTCCTTTTGTAATCTTCCATTGTAGGCAGAGGCCTTAAATGGATGAATGAACAAACCACACTTTTAAAATGTACACAAACAAGTCACTTGCTCATTGATCTTCATTTGGTGAATTGCCAGAACAGGCAATGGTGTTGGTCAGTGGCTTTTAATTTAGCAGGTTAGAATTGCCATTTTTGGCTTTTTGTTGTTTTTTTATTGTAAAGCTGCTTTCCTCAGCACAAATATTCCTTTGATTATTGCTTCTGAGAGGTATTGCCTGTTTGTGTGCCAAATTTTATGGGCACAGAAAATGTTTCAAGCACTGATTTTCAGATTTTGAAAACAGATTTGGGTAATTTTGATTCTAGACACAAAGATCAATGCCCAGTTTATTGCTTGAATCTAGCTGGAAATTCAAAGGGGGACAGGTCCATCAATTCAATGTGATGATTGTGCATAAGCAACATACATCAGTGTGAATCCCCACAATGTTTTCAGCTGATTCAAATGCAGAAAACCCAATTTTCCATTGTGCATGAAGAGCAGCAAGTACCATCACTTGATGCCTTTTATAATCTTGTTCATTTGATGGCTTATTTGGTTGTGAGTCTTGTGACTGCAGATAGAATTTGACCAAAGAATTTGAAGTCATGAAAAGATTATCAAAATGCAGCCAAGTTCCTCCTAGTTTTTGTCAAAAAACAATCTTTAGTTGAAAAAGCAGAAATTACACGCAGAAAAAATTATCATAAGTGATGCCTTGGAAAATAAAATGGTGAAAAGACATGGAACATGCAAAAATTGTCTCCAAACCTGATGTTTTAGAAATTTGTAAGCATTTTTTTACTAGTGGTCTGTGATGCATTGTATTTTTGATATTAAACTGTTCTAGTTTTGAGAAAGAGTAAATGTGATGTTCAATAAAATAAAAGCAAGAGAGCAGCATCAGCAGAGACATTAAAAAAAATCTGAGATGAGGAAAATTTTCATATCTTAGCTAGCTGGTCCCTATAAATTCAACTTACAGAGGTTCACCTGTACATGACAAGACTTTCGATGGGAACATGATAGATGTGTTTGAAAATTTAGCTCCCCTCCAAGCTCCAAGAGGCTGATCCTCTTCCAGAAGCCTTTTGCATCCATACCTTCTGCTTGGGCATCATTACTTGAACACTACACAGCAAAACAAGATTTCGGTGTGCTTTGAAGACCCACTGCACCTGCCTTACGCAGGCCCTGATAGTCACATACTGCGAAAATGTTTCAACCATCTCAAATACAAACACATTGAAAAAATCATCGAATTTTCCAGATCACACACTATGATGTGGGCTGTTCTAAAACAAGTCTGAAGGCGGCAATAAAATATTCAATTCGTGATCAGCAGGGGCTTCCTAAGTTAGGGCTGCAATTGAGGACATTCTTCAGGAAATGAACAAGCCTGTGATGGATTTCACAGCAGCTGAGAACAATGTGAATCAGAAACTTTAGCACCAATATATTTTTTGTTTTGTTTGGAAAACACAAACAAAAAACCCTTTACTTGGATCTAGTACAGTATTTCATGTTACAACGTAACCCTATATTATAAAAAAAAACTTTTATTCGACTGCAATAGCAAAAATCCCTGGATAAACGACCCAAAATTTAGTTAAAAATGTTTTTAGGAAAAATTCCCTTATTTCAGAAACTAAAATCAGGTTAGCTAATAACTGAAACGGATGGCACAATATCGATTCGATCTTGGACCAAAATGCTTGCATCCAGTAGCGTATGAGAGATCTCTTGTTTTTCCATATTGAAAACTGATTCGACTCCATTCCTTCACCGTTCAATAGCTTTTCTATTCCATGGTTTCTTCCTCGTCTCTGCTTTGTGTTGTTAGCTATGACCCTATGCTCCAGAAACAGTTGACACGCCAAGTGAAAAAATTTTTGCTTTGCCCATGTCTCCTTACATTCACCAACAGCTTATGTAAATTACTTCGTGAAAGAAAGGGGGTAATGTGAGTGATGAATACCGGACATTGAAAAGGGAACGAGTCAGAATAGAAGAAATAAATTTCATCCCGACTTTGGAAAACATGAGGAAGATAACCGCCAAAATACGAGTGTAACCAGTGTTTTATACAAACGTAATCAAGGAAGAACAGTTTTCATCAGTTTGATGCAAATAAAAATTGCGGGAGCTGAATCCACTACGTCTGGAGTGCTGCCCAACTAAAGATGTGACCAAGGGCCATATTAATGCAGAGGTGGAGAGTCCTTGCAGGCCACAATTGACAATTTTTGATGGCAATTTTTCCCCTCTTCAATGAAAATTTACAAATTTGACTCCACGCTACGCATAAAATTACAAACATAGACCTGAAGAATTTTTGACAGGAAGAGCAACATTTTGAATTTTTAAATTCATCTTTCAACATATGGATTATTTTGAATATTGGCAGCTGCCAAATTTAAAATTATAGAGACGGGACCGCGGCACAGATGAAGAGTCCCTGCGGGCCAGATCTGGCCCGTATCTTGGACAGCACAGGACTAAGGCATTGTACAGTACCTGAAATTAGCAATTGCCTTTCAAGTGAAAGAAACACATTACTGTGTTCCCCATTTACAAGCTTTTTTTCGCTTCCATTCAGGTTTGGCAACTCAAGGTCAAATTCGCATTATTTCATGCAGCCATCATATGTTTGCTCAGGTATTAGTAAAAACCACTTCGAGGGATTCAAAATGAGACCACACAAAATATTCATGAAATCATCGCCAAAATTGAGTTACTCAACCCCGAGAAACATACTTTTTCACCTTCTCATCACAAATGAGTACAAAATAAAACTTGGAAAAATTAGGAGGGAAGATTTTTCCTCTCTTGCGCAGCAAGTCGTTTCCTCTTTTTCTTCAGGTATCCATCCAATTTCCCGTCTTTCTTCAGTGCCAAATATTGCTCCTCCAACGCCGCCTTGCGTTTCACAGCTGCAAGTATGAAGAATTACGTCAACTCACAGAGGAACGATTTTGAATCAAATAAAACTTACATTTTGCAACAAAAACGGGCTTCTTCCCCTCACGCATCCTCTGCAAATTCTTCTCCTTCTCCACCTCCAAGGTTTCTCTCTTGAGGTCATTCTTCTTCTGTTCCCGCACTTGGTTCTCCTGCAAAATGTTCATCAAGTGAAACCCATCATCAATAGAAAATTGTCATTCATGAATTCCAGGAATAAATACGGTCCACTTCGAGAAGAAACTGGAATCTGAAAAATTGTTTCCTATTCTTATTTATAACTTGCTCAATTTTTAACTTCTTTCAACCAAGAAAAAGTCAGAATTTGCAGAATTTTATTGCGCATCCAATGCAAGTTTCAAAATTGAAACTGCAATTTGGAAAACTTACTAAAAACTTTCCATTTTCAACAATGAAGCCTTCAAAATTTAAATTTCCTTCCATTTATACATATTTAAAAATCTTGCTCATGATGTCAGGGTAGGCAGAAATATTTATTTTGAATTGGAAAAATTTTTAAATAAAAAAAATCTTTCCAAAAAGTTGATGGAATCTTTTCCTCTGGTGCCACTTGCCCAGGTGTGGCTGGGAACCACCCCCTAGTATTAAAATAAAAGGATTCGCACCAAACGTTGAAGAGAAGTTTTGATGGCCGTCTTCGCGTCCGGATCTTTCATCTTCTTCATTTTCTTGCGCAATTTAACCATCTCTCGATCCTTAATTTCATCCAAGAATTTATAATGATGTCGAAAGGCTTCCGGTTTGAGGGTTCCGCAATTATCGTCAAACCTCGGATCGCGGATTTCCTTTTTCGGTTTGGCAAATTGGATTTTCGGTGGCTTCTTCGAAGACATTTCTCGAGGTCTGAAGGAAAAAGATCGAGCCATTAGGAAAACTAAAACGAATGAAATCCACATTTCTTATGAGTTTCTTCGAAGTAGGCTAACATTTCTTCGAGTTGAGCTTTTGAGTCTGTTTTTTGGGATCTGAAAAACACAGGCTGTAGGATCATACATTTCTGGCAGCACTTTCTCTAATCAGAAGTAGCACTAAAACTGGAATTTTATCACTGTGTAATACGAGTACATAACGACACGAAATTTTCAATCAACCTTCTCCTGCGCCGGCATTTCGAATTCACCAGCGAATTCTTAAAATTGGCAGGAAAAATATCTGTTCGCATCATCAACGAGTCGGAAATGAGTTTTCAAGAACTGCTGAAATTCTGCTCGCGTCTCCGGATCCGAACCTTCTTCTAGTACTGATTTCACGTCAACATGAATACAACTCAGACAAAAATGTACTCAGATAAAAAAAAGTACCGGTTTTTGCTAGCACGCTTGAAGTCCCGTTTTCTGTGTTGTCGGTTGTAGTCATTCGACATGGCTTCTCTGTAAACTTTGACCCCGAGCTTTGCCTTCAGCTCCTGGAGTTCACCGAACGAGAAACTCTTCATGTCCACTTCCTCCTCTTCGCTCTGAAAATGGAAAGACAATATTTTAAAAAATTCTGGATCCAAAAAAAATGGTAGCTTCGGCTCCTCACCTCCTCTTCATCGATGTCTTCCGATTCACTTGAACTCGCATTGTCTTCCATTTTACACAAACTGATTTTCGCAATGAATTACTGCGGGATCCTGATGAAACGTCCTCGACAAACGACTGCGAAATTCAGGAGAAACGAAGGAAAGGTCTGAAAGGAAAAAATGTCTTCAACTACTGGGATCCATCACTGCTTGAAGCAGGTACACACATAACATCATAAATACCGTAATCAACAGAACTAAAATATGCAATGTTACAAAAGAAAATTTTGTGGCTGAAAGAACAGGGATGCGAATAATTCGATTTAAAACCGCAAAGAAAAATATTTTCGCACGAAGAATTACGGCTGAACGACAAATTTTAGCGGTGAGTCCACCAGTGGTTAAAAAAAATATTTGCAAGGGTTGTCCTAAATCCGCGCAAGATTAAATATTGTTACCACTGCCAATGTGGAAAAATTACAAATTTTCCCCCAAAATGTTTCAGAAATCTGTTTGTTTTTTTCAGATTTTCAAGAATTTTTAAAATTTGATCGCAACCTCCCAAAACTGCTCGGGTTTTCTTATTTATTGCAAAAAACCTGATCATTCAAAAATCTTACAATCCAGTAAATATGGGATCTCTCAATATCAACATGATCTAACCGGATCCTTTTCCAAAAGACAGCCTCAATCCGAAGAAGCAATCCCAATCAAATAAAATATCCCGCGTACAAGAAAAAATTCACTTTATCAATCTTCGTTTTCCAACGGGGAAATCATGTCTGAAAAAAATATCAGACTCTCGACAAAAAGGAACACGTAGAAACAGTGACGAATTCAAAATTAAATCCCTGGTCGTAATTCAGAGAACGATCTGCGCCATCACGCGACCGCCTCCGCGCAAACTCCGGATTTTCTGTCTCTTCGAATAAATATCCATAATTTCAGGTCGACGGGTCAAGCTTCCGTCCCCGTCGCGAACAAGAACCCCGTTTATCACCACCTTGTTCGTCCCGAAATCGTCTTTTTCCTCTTTCACAAACGTTTTCCCTGAAAGAGAGAGAAAAAAAGAACAGGAAGATGAGCTTCCAATATTCATTCATTTGAGACTTCATATCTCAACGATATCACCTTGTCCGGGGATCTTCAAGGATACCATGAAATCCATCAGTGATTCCAAGTGCACGAACGGTCCCCTGAAACACTTCGGCGGCGGTAATGTTTTCATAACGTCTGCAGCGATTGTGGGTAAAGGAAATTCTCCGCCTAGAAAAGTGAAAGAGAAAAACTTGATGTCAATGTCAAAATGTGAACAGTCGACGAATATTGCATAAATCTGGCAAAATTTTTGACGCGCGCGAATTCGACTCTGTGCATTTGGGAACAGAACGTAAAAATCCGTATCATCACGAATTTCCGAATCATTGCAAAAATTTACGGACAACTTTGATGAAGATAGACTATTAAAAAAGACTTCCATTTTCACATAGACATGAGAACATTTTATTTTACAACAGTTTATAATAAATTAATGCTTACAACGAATTTGCTATTCAGTCCTTGTCGAATAGCCAAGATATTTTAATTTCGCTTTAACGAAATTTTGTTTACGAAGCTTTTTCACGGTCCCAAACGCTCCGTTTTAACGAGATTTAACTACACACATATATTAAATAAAACGCATTTCTGTTATCCTAAAACATGAATCCCAAAAACTAATATTTAGACTAGGTGGTGGATATGACTCTCTGTATATGTGACTTTTTAATTTCTCATCGCATCAATCGCTCATCTTTCCATCGCAAAAAATTGTGGAGCATCATCCAAAATACAGTTTCAACTAAAGGAAAGAAAAATCTCACCGGGAACACAAAGTTTGCCCGGAAACCAGCGCAGCTTCGGCTGAAACGGAGTCATTTGCCGGACATCCGGAAGGGCATACCGGCTCCCAAAGGGACATGGCGGCAACAACCGCCACTTCCCAGCACTCACGTTCGGCCCGAATCTCTGCGCCTCGTCATCGCCGTCTTCCGGCTCGTCCAGCGATGAAACCCGTTCATTCCGCTTCGTGTCCATGCCTTGTTTCTTATCGTCTTTGGACTCCCTCGAAAGCTCGTTGTAACCCAATGCCCTGACGAGACAAAGATTTTTAAAACTGAGATCAGCTCGTTCACAATAATCAGTACTTGCAATTTAGAAAAATAAAACAAAATAAAGTACCAGTCTGCAAATTGCGCGTGTAGAAAAATGCGAGGCAGACAAGTTATCCACATTTTACATTCTGCACATTAGTACATACAGCGGAACTTCCATTACCCGAATCTCAATAAATGAAATACCTCCCTATGTCGAATATTTTTCAAGCCCGGGTCTGAAATCCCTTGGAAAAATGCATTAAAATCTCCCTGACTCGAAGGCTTTCCTTCTCGAACCGCCATAACTCGAATTGCCTGGAGACCTTTCTCATAATTTTATTGACACAGAAAAAAGAGAAACAATACAATACAGTAGTATTGATGTGCTTTGAAAGGAATGGGAAGACTAATTTGACAAATGAACCCATTTCTCTAAGTTCAACATCCCGTCAACTAATTCAATAAGCAATTAGAGGCGTAGAATATCCCTATTTCAAGCCGCCTCGACTCGACTTTTTCCGATCACCTGAAGTTTGATTGTGAGAGGTTCGATTGCATTGCGTTCACATCAACTTATACAGATATTCCTCATTCAACATCTCAAGCATAACCTCTTTTGAGAACATACACACTAACTGAAAAACAGATAGAAAAAATCAACTGTCGACAACTCACAACAATTGCACCCTAGAAACTGGCATGAGATCACCAAATTTGTAGCGATCGATCGTGAGCAGGGACTCCTTGGCCTCAAAATTTCGACACACTCGTGCAACAATGCAGGATCTCCGTTTCTCCACCTTTAGAATTGATGCCAAATCCCCGTGATTCGTCTCGAATTCCAGGTAGCGATCCCAGATTTCTCTGAAATAAGAATACCAGATAAGAAAGACCGTCACATTCTTCAATTCAGTATGTTTTGTTGAAAGAGAATCATATGGTTTTGAACCTTGGAAGTACTGTGCTTTTCCGAGAACGGCAACCCAAGTACAAAGTGCTGTAACATTCAACACAAGATGGGACGCAATTATCTCGATTTCGACAGACTGTTTATTTTCAATAGCTGGAAGCGTAATACAATAAGGACGTGGAGCCCTTACTTGTACAGTACCACTTTTTGTTGACGAAAATTTATTTGGATTCCAGAAAAAAATCGAGCATTCGTAAATGTACGACTAGGGAATGAATTTCAATATTGTCTTCCCACAGCCAAGATTTCTGGTTCAAGAAGCTCGGCTGTAACAGAATCCCCGCTTACGCACAGTTCTCATTCATTCTTTTAAATTGGTAACCTCTGACTGGCTTTTGATCCAAAAACTCATATTCTTTAAATTCCCACAAAAAAAAGCACAACAGAATACTCAGTCTATTTGCCTCACTTGAACTGGAGCAATTCATTGATTCGAGTCGAAGAGAGGAAATTTAGACAACCACTTATGACTTCGGTTATCAAGTCATGAAATTCAAAAAAAAAAATATCGCCGCGTTCAAGTGAACGAAAGTTTTCCTTGCCCAGATGCCAAAAAATAAGCTTTACCGGAAGGCAACAGAAGCCAAAATTTCACTGGAAATGTAGATTTTTGCCAAGAAAATGAACACAAACTTACAGCAATTTTTCTGGGTGGATATTACACGTGGAAAGCACTCGCTCGAACAACACGCGTATGTTGTTGTCTTCATTGAGGTGCGACAAGTAGTCCACATACGCCAACACGTACTCGGCCACGGACGAATACTTTTTCAAACCGAGCTCGAAGATCTTGAACGCCACGTTCTTGTCCTTCGACACCAGGTACTCCATCAAAGCTGCTGCAACGAACACGTGAAACCTCGACCGGGGATTTTCTCTCGCCTTTCGGAAAATCTGTCGCGCGGATTTCACGCTGTCCGTTCTCCGCATAAATGCCATGTAATGAATGAATGCCTGAATGCAATATTGGAATTTTCATCACTCACCGAAATCGAATAAAAATAAAATAAATCACAGCTAAAGGGAAACGTGAGACTCACTAGAGTGGGATCGACGTCAGGCAAACCCACGAACTCCTCGTAAATGGACGCTGCTTTCGCAATCTCACCACGCCGCTCATAGAAATCCGAGAGACAAAAGTGTAACAAAGGTTGTCGTCGCATCGGTCCCTTCACACCCCGATTATAAAACGCGATCACTTCTTCTGTGTACACTTCACTCACAGCCTCATCACCCAATGCCCGCATCTTCTTTGCAGACTCTTCCAAATAATCCGCGGCGTCGATCCAGACATCAGGGTGATGCGATAGACACAATAAAGCTTGCTCGTACGCGTAAACTACTCTTCGCCGGAAGCTCAAGTAATCTGTTTTCTCGTCGAATTTGAGTGGATTCGTCTTCTCCCAAGATATGTACCGTTTCCAGAGCTCAACTTGAGCTATTTCTGCCGGAGTCCCAGTCGGTGGAATGCTCAAGGCGCCCTTGTTCAAGCCTCGCATAACTGACTCCAATTCCGCGGATACATTGCGAGCTTGAAGGTATCCGTGGACTTTGTCTTGGAGCAGAGTTAAGGAATCCGGGAGGTTCACCAAGCGTTCGTAATCCACGTATCTTTCCCAAAATTTATCGATTTGTAACATGGGGATCACGATTCCACGATGATAAACCTGGGAGCAAACAGTTCCGTGGGCTTATTCACACCGGTTATGACGGCTATTCTAAAACCTCAACATCAAGAGGAATTCAATCCATTTACCTTCCTGATGGCATGAATTTTCTGCACTTCTGAGGTGCGCCCCACGGCCTCCACTTTCTCCAAGAAAGAAATATAGTCATTCCATATGGAAAATGCGTTGACGTCAAACCCGATCTTATCGAGGGCAAAGTCGTAAGCTTGAGCCATTTTTTCGCTAAAAGAAACCCCCGCGGTATAAAACAGTAGACCTCTTGCTTCGTAATTTCATAAATATCTCACTTGTATGACGGCAAGTCATGTTTCGTGTCCCTTACGTAGGCCAGATACGCTCTCCAAAGGTCCAGATTCAACACTTTCATTAAACACCGTTGAAAGAGCTAGATAATAAGATGGAAAAAGGATAAATCATGGCTTGAAACTACGCAGCTCGAGAACGCATTGCAACTCACCATTTCCGCAAGATCATGATTCCGAGACCGGATCTGGAAAAAGTTAAATGATCATGATCAGACGGAGACTCACGGCATCAATTCAAAATTAGTTACTGTACCTCGTGTTCAATGTATAACTTCCAAAATCTTCCAGCGGTGGGGAACACGCTAATAGCGTTTTCATAGACAGGACGAACTTCTTCAATCCTACGTCCTTGCAATTCGCGGACAACCAGACCCCACGCATCAACGGCATATTGATTCTCTTCGATGTCACGAAGGAATTGGCGGACTCTATCACTGAGCATCATTTTGAGAAACCCTTCCTCCGCCTGTTCTGCAGGTCAGATCACCACATATTGAAAAACAACTACATACCAACTCAAGACACTTGAGCGCATCCGCACAAGAGCACGAAGATCAAGCCTCTCACTTGAAACGTTCAACACTCGATTATTTAGTTTCTTCCGGTTTTTTTCAATCGCGAAATATCATTGAAAAAATAGTGAACATAAAGATGCGCCCAAGTAGTTTCAGGATTTCATTATCCAGTGGTTTGAAAATTCGGCCGGCGTGGACGGTACAGCGTACTCCCCCAAAATCGTACTCCAGGAGTACACCCTGCCTAGGCAGGATGCAATATTTTTGCCAAAGTAAATGCCGCTTCAAGAATCACTGTGGAATCAACATCCTCTGCATTCTGTGCAAGAAACCACTGCGTAAGTGCTCACTACAGTAGATAGAAGCCTCTGCAGAATCGCACTCCACGGATGTGGACTAATCCTCCTGCAGGGGGAGTACACTGTGCAGTAAGGTGTTTGGTCGGTAGAGTAATGTACGGCCCCGGTGATGTTGTAGATACACAGGAGTAGAATGAGTGTATTGGCTTTTCACAAGTAACTTTCTTTCACAACAGTAGAAGCTAAGACACTTGGCGAGGCGGCGTAGTTGGAGATGCGGAGTGTCAAACAGTTCAGTCAAGAGTGACCCGCCTTGTCCTTTTTGCACGCTTATGTGCTTGTTGTCTTAACCCTCAGTCCCATTAGGTTCTCTTGTGTTTTTGCGGCAGATGTTGTTCCCGGTTGGGGACCGTTAGGTTCTCTTGTGTGTGTCGTAGGATGTTTTTCCCGGTTCGGCTTAGGGTCGCGTCCTTGTCCTTTTATGTGATCTGTGGGGGGAGATAAGGTTGGAGTTAATGTGCTTTTGGTGTCTTTGTTGTTTTCAAGATGGCTATCTCTGACTCTCCCCCCCCAAAAAAGGCGCTTGGTGGCAAGTGTCGATTGGAGGTGTTGATCAGCAGCCCGCATGCTGCCCCGGTGGGGTCGTTGGCCCCGGTCAGGAGGCAGGGCCCCCTTGTGCAGTTGCGGACTGCGGTGCAATAAAGGTGCTTGCAGACGTGATCTGCGGGCATCGCGTGGGTGCGCGGGCACACTTAGTGATGTTCCTCGGTTTCCCCTGGTACGTGGCTCCCTTGGTGCGAGTTTGCGGAGGAGCTTAAGGTGTTTCTTGTAGCCCGGTTGTGGGGGTCGTGGCCCGTGTGGCCAGAGTTGTAGTTCCCAGGCGGGCAGAAGCACGATGCAGGCGTCGGTGCCCACGGCGTAGTGTCCCGGGGCATGTTGCCAAAGGATCATGAAGGGCCCCAGGCGTCGTTTTCAAAAACATCGGGAGGCGGTGTGTAGCACCGTGGATGCCATCGGCGGGCGGACAGTCACCATATCCCGGGAATGGAACTGGGGGTGCTTCTTCTGGTTGGCCTGGCGGAGGGACCGTTTTTGCTGCTGGCGGAGATAATCAGTCACTGCGGCTGCGTCCATTGTGGCTGGCAAGGGGACGCCAAAGTGGTTGTTGGCGGCCAAGCAAGGTGTTGTGCCCAGGAAGATTTCGCTGGGTGTGACGCCCGTCGAGGTATGTGGCATAAGGTTGTATGCGGCCACCAACGTGGGTAAGTACTTGTGCCTATTTTTGCTGTCTCCCTTTGCCATTTTTGCTTGTATTTGCCCGATGGTGCGGATGGCCTGCTCGCATGTTCCATTGCCTTCCGGGTGGTTGGCGTGCGCGATGTGTTGCTCGCAACTGGCTTGGGTGAGGAATTGGCGAAAAGCGGTGGGATTTGAAAATTGCGGCTCAGTTGGAGTGGATTGTCCAAAATTTCCCAATATTGGTGAGGACAGTGTGAACCTGGGCGATTGCCGTGGCCGTGTCTGCTTGTCGGACGGGGATTGCCACAAGGAACTTTGAGAATTGGTCAATGGCAATGAATGCGTACTTGTGTAGACCCGCGGAGCTTGGTAGGGGGCCGTAGAAGTTGATGCAGAGCCGGTCCCAAGGCTGCGTGACAGGGACGCCACTCATGCGTTTGCCGGTTGTTTTTGTGCTATTGTTGTAGGTGAAGCATTCTGGGCAGTCTACAAGCTGTCTCCAGATGGTGTGCCGCATGTGGGGCCATCCTGGGTGTACTGAGAGCCGTAGGTCAGCTGCGTTGATGGAGACCCAGCTAAGGGCGTTGGGCGCATGTAGGGATGCGCTGGGGCAATATTCGAGTTCCCCTTGATATTGTCCCAGTTTCATTTGCATTCGGATTAGCCTGGATGATTTTAGCTTGCCCAACAGTGGCTGATGGTTGGTAATCATGTGGAAGGCGCGGTGTTCCAGGTAGTGCCAGAACTTCTTCATGACGGCCCATACCATAGCGAGCAGCTCACGTTTGGTATTGGTGTAGCGGGTTTCTGTGTCCGTGAGAACGCGACTGGCATATTGGAGAATGGCCGGGCCGGTGTTGGGGTGGACCTGTACCAGGACTGCTCCAAGGCTGGTGGCAGAGGCGTCAGTGTGGACCTCGATGGGCTGATGCTTGTCATAACGTTCCAGTTGGGCGGCGTTGGCGATGGCGGTCTTGAGATCATGGAATGCGTGCTTTGCTGTCATCAACCAGTGCAGGGTTGTGTTCGGTTTGGCCGGGATGGTGGATCGTAGAATATTTTCTGCCATGGCAAAGTTGATGGGCACGTGTGCGCGTAAATAGGTTGCGAGTCCCAGGAATCGCTGCATCTTGTTGGTCGTGTTCGGTTGGGGGTATTGTTCCACTGCTGCCAGGTTGTGGGGGGCAGGCCTGGCCCCCGTCTGGTCAATGAGGAGTCCCAGAAATTCAATCTGCGTGGCAAGGAAGGTTGACTTGGCAATGTTGATTGCGGCTCCGGTGTTGTCTAGTGAGGTGAGTACGTCCTGGAGGTTCTGGCACACTGTCTTGTAGGTTTTGCCAAAGACAATGATATCGTCGATGTAGGCTAAACACTTGGTGAGTAGGTGTGGGCGGAGGATGTTGTTGATTGTGTGTTGGAAGAGTGCGGGCCCGTTGCGTAGCCCAAATGGTAGTACCGCATATTGCATCTGCCCTTGGGGGGTAGAGAAGGTGGTTTTTGGTTGGTCGTGGGGCACAATGGGCAGATGGTGGAAGGCGCTGTGCAGGTCCACTGTGCAGAAGAATGCGTTCTGCCGTCCCAGGGCGTCTACCAGGTCTTGTATAATTGGCATCGGGTAATTGTCTGGTACCAGGAGTGTGTTTAGTTTCCTGTAGTCTTCAATGAGGCGCCAGTGTTGCCCTGCGGGCGCGCCGGGTAGGCCGCTCTTCTTGGGTGTCAGGAACGCTGGGGAGTTGTAGGGCAACATAGCTGGCTTGATTATGCCCGCGGCGACGTACTCTACAATGATCTCCTTGAAGGGCACCAATTTGTTGGGTGCCTGTCGGAATGGGGGCAATGCGGGAGGTGCTGCCATCGTGGTATCCAGTGTGACTGTGTACTCGGGGAGACATCCCTGGCGTCCGGACCACTGAAAAACTGCGTCCTGGTGCTGCAGCAGGATTCGGCGGATGCCTTGTTGCTCCTCTTGTGTGCCGTCAATGAAGTGGATGCAGTGTCTGGGCTGCAGAGTGGGTGATGCTCGTCGTTTGGAGTGGTAGAGGTATCCTACATAGAGCCGGTTTCCCTCAAGTCCAGGGCCGGCCTAAGGCGGGTGCAGTGGGTTCACTGCACACGGGCGCCTGGCTAGGGGGGGGCGCAAAAATCATGCAGACCTGACCCGGGCAGTAAGGAGGGGGTGTGCCTGCATGATGAGGCGCCAGACAGCTCATCATTGATTGACTCATTGAATCATTAACTCATTAGGTGCCTCATGATGCCGGCGAAATTAGTTACTTTCAGAACTTTGAAATTGACAAAAGTAAACAGCAAGACACAGGACGCATCAAAAACTTCAAATCCCTGAGTTCCCTCCTCCATCCCCAATTCTGATGCCTCCTGTTCAGGCTGTGATGTCTTTGACTGCACCTTAATAGGCCAATCACGGTCACGAGACAACTCACATAGCGACAACTCACACAGCGACAACTCACACAGCAACAACTCACACAGTGCGACAACTCACACAGCAACAACTCTCTCTCTGCAACAAAATTCAAAGGACTGGAAAAATTCGTTGGAGAATTTCATTGTAGAAAATCCCTCTAGCATGGGAATGAACCAAAAATAAAAATATAAATCGATATGAGGAAATCGTCGTAGAAAAGATTGTTATAGCAGAAAGAGGCCACCTGTATTCATTAGCTGAAAAATTCGTTTGATTCCAAGCACAGTAAAACTGGAAAAACAAAAAAATATATATGCTGTATATATACAGTATATATAGGGCCTGAGATTTTTTCGCCCACAATCAGGGCCGGCCTAAGGCGGGTGCAGCGGGTTCACTGCACACGGGCGCCTGGCTAGGGGGGGCGCAAAAATCAGTGCCAGGGTTGGTGCAAAAATCAGACCTGACCCAGGCAGTAAGGAGGGGGTGTGCCTGCATGATGAGGCGCCAGACACCTCATCATTGATTGACTCATTGAATCATTAACTCATTAGGCGCCTCATGATGCCAGCAAAATTAGTTACTTTCAGAACTTTGAAATTGACAAAAGTAAACAGCAAGACACAGGACGCATCAAAAACTAAAAATCCCTGAGTTCCCTCCCCCATCCCCAATTTTGATGCCTCCTGTTCAGGCTGTGATGTCTTTGACTGCACCTTAATAGGTCTCAAATGCCTCAAAAATTTAACCACTGTGTCCCAAGGAATCCAGGAATAAGTAAAGAAAAACCTCTTCATCCACATATAGTCAGTCTTCTTGAAAGCTTCAACCCTGTGGAGAACCCCCTTTAAAAAAAAAAATGGGGAGAATTTCCCGTTTCCTAGAGGAAGAAAAAAGGGGAAATTTTAAGAAAATACCTTTTTTATTAAAAAGAAGAGGGAAAATTTGTCCTGTGGGATGAAAACTCAGAAACACTGACATTCTGAAACTGCAAAACCCCTGCACTTTATGCACTCTCAATACATTAAACAATTTAGCATTTATTAGTCATTTTGTTACAAAATCAAAAAAGTTCTAATTTCTGATGGCAAATTATATTAGAGAATTTGCCAACACAAAACATGAAAATTCAGAAAATTCTCTGCAACTGGAATCCCTCTGAATATTCAAAGGTTGGTGAAATAGAAAATTTCAACTAGTTTAAATACGTAATGGGGTTAGATGTGCAGAGCAGTTTTAAAATTTGTCATTCTTAAAAATAAAATGTAGCTAATTGCAAAATTGAGCATAAGAAACTAGAATTTCTTCAGATTTTGTAATCAAGAGACTAATCAGCATGGTTCATTCTTTCATGTATTGACAGTGCATAATGTGCACAGTTAATAAATAAAATAAGCACAGTTATAAAAGAGCACATTGCTAAAAGAAGCAGAATTATCAGACCAACAATAAAAAAATTTAAAAAGTTCTAGTTTTTTGCTTATACATTTTTAATTCACTAGATTTTTCAACAAAAAGCACAAAATTCAGAAGAAATCTCTGCACCTCTAATCCCTTTAAATTTTCAAAGTTTGGTAAAGAAGGAAATTGTTTATTAATTTTCAGATCTGAAAACATGTTTTTTTGGAAGAATTCATTTAGAAAAGGTTTTACATTCTCATTTTCACCTTTGTCAACTTGGATTATCTTATGGTTTAAAAAATTGGAAGTGCAGAGAACTTCATGATGCTTTCAATGTAGTTGAAAATTTGCATTTCAGTGCATAATTACCTTTTTGGCAAATTTTAAAAGATGAAAAATTGGGAAGAAAAACTGAAACAAGAATTCAGACTTTTTAGTTTAGCCCATTCTAATTTATTTGCTTTTGATGAAACTTGAAAATTATTTACAGGGTGTCATGCACAGTGATGTTTTACAAGCTTCTTTCTTTTTGTTGAAAAATGTTACAAATTGAAACGGTTGAAATTCAAAAAAGTAAAAACATTTTTGATGATTTTTGTATA